TCGACTACTGACTGCTCAGGATGATTTTCTTGCCTCTCTTTATGAAACAAAGCGAACGTGAACTGGCAGTACATGATGAAATTTGTGTGAGAAGTGACTTGTCTGAAGAATCACATCATTTAATCGTGCTCCAGAGCTCAAAGCTTCACTTGCCAGTGAGAGGGAAGTCTGATCTCCCAGCACCGAGTGGTGTTTCCTGCATCCTTTCCTGTAGTGGCAACTGGGGAGCTTAAAGCCACGAACGAGTGGCCAAGTTCACTGGAAATGAGTCTTTATCCATTACTTCCCTGTGTTTGTCCCCACCATAATAGCTCTGTCTGAAGCAGTGGCTTCAGTCATGTCAGTGTTATAAAGCATCAGGATTTAAACAGAAAGAACCCTGAATACACAGAGTTGTATCCAGGAGGTCCCTACAGTCTTCCCCTCCTGCAGAGGGAAGTCACAAAACCCTGCTGCTCCTTTCCCTTGGCAAATTTTTTCATCAGTTGAGCTGTATTGGTGATGTATAAATGAGAAAACTGGAGATCTGTTGTGGTTAATCAGTACAAAGGGTCAAGATGGTGCTAGTGCAGTTCCTTGGGACGTGGTAGCAGAAGGAATTTAATCTCACTTCAGTCATCCAACAGGAGCTGCCCCCTTGCCACCAGCTGTGGCACATCCTTGGAAGGAGGAGATGGACATGAGCATCCAGCCTGGGTTTGGCTGCAGGGCTGTGGGGCAGGGTGGGGGCTGGCCCAGCACCTGCATCGCTCCTGTGGCAGAAGAGCTCCACACTGGGACCCACATCCTCATCTCCTCCTGACAGAGGTGCTCTGAGCTAGGTGCCATTAACCTTCATTTGGGCTTTTAATTAGCTGGGCTTTGTATTGAAACCCATCTTGGGCATTTTGAAACCTGCCATACACCATGTCTGATCCATGATCGCTTTTCGTGAGGCTTGTGGGGCTGTGTTTTCTGGGCTCTGGTAGCACAATCTGGAGCTGTGAGAGAAAGCCCTTGGGGGCTGCTCTGTGGCTGCAGGCCAGTTTCTGCATAAACTGGTCTTATTTTTAAAGTCCATTTTCTCCAGTACACTTTTTTTTGGCCTGCAAAAGACTTCTTCATTTAAAACGAAGAACATAACACTCTCTCCTTTCAGTTGGTCTTTTGGACATGAGCCAGCAGTGCCCACAACAGCTGTACCACAGTTTAAACATTCAGTCTCTAATGGTTTGGGGAACATTAGGGTTTTTAAGGCTTCAACAGGTCTAGAGTAAATAGTGGTCAATAAAGAGTAGCTCTTCTTTGTATCCCTATGCTCTCAGTGCTCTGCACTAGAATAAAGCATGCTTAGAATATAATCATTGCAAAATTAATATCCATGAAAAGTTCTTTTTTTAAAAAAAAAAGAATCACAGAGAAACTGGTTTCACTAGAAGAAGAGTTTGCAAGAGTTCAGCTCTCAAGACTGGTAGCAGGCCATGGAGAATTTGGCACGTAATGTCTGTGGGAGATGTGCACATCCTGGGCTCCTGTCACTCCCCACGTGTGTGCTAAGTGACTGGGAGGAGCAAATAAATCACAGGTATTCCTTTCTCTGGCCTTTTTCCACCCACCTATGGATGATGTACACGAGAGTTAATTATGATTTTGTATTTTCCTTATGGCTGTCCAATGTCACGTGGAGTCAAAAGCCAGCATGTGCTAATTGTGATATTTAGGATAGTGGTTTGGACCCAAATATGGTAAGAAATTATATTGGCAATGATTTGTGATAGTTGGGCATTGCTCTTGTTAGTGCTTGAACCCAGTGCTGGGGAGCCTTAATGATTTGAGCAAATCAGGGTTGGTGGAGCTGTCAAACGGCTCAAATGGAGGGAACTGCTCATTTCCTTGAAGTTTGTAGGTGAGCAGACAGAATCCATGTGGGGCTGGTTTCTGGGACAAAGCCCTGGAGCCTCGCAGCCCTTCTGTGGCACTGGTCCAGTGTCTGCCCTTGCCTCGGCCCGTGAAGGGTTAAACTGCTCCTTTGGCCACTTGGACTTTGTGTGCAGCTCTTGGTGTCACTGTGAAGAAATCGTTTGTGACTCCTTGTACTCCCTGTAGGGAGTTGATTAACCCCTTCCAGTACCCTTCTTTGTGCTTCCTGCTGGGATCGGAGCTGCGGGATGCTGCTGCAGCCTGTGGAATGCCAGGGGACAGGGGGGACACTGGGCTAGGAGTGGGGGAGACTTCATAGGAAAAACGTGGAACGTGCCAGCCTGGCAAGGCACTCTCCTGAAAAATGGGATTATATAAAAACCTGGCTACTGTGGTGCTTCTCATTAGCAGCTCCGCAGGGTTGGCCGGAGCAGGGCTCGGGCAGTTGTCACCTTCTTGGCTGGAGCAAGGTGGATGTTAATGGATGTTTCAGTGGTGAATTGCTTTGTGTTGAAGCCCTGGTAAAGGCTTGCTGAGATGTTTTATTTTCAGTTTTTGGAGCAAGCTAGTTTTGGGAATGGATAGGAAGGAGTATTAGAAGGTAACTGGTCTATCTAAGAGGTTACTCCTGAGTGGCAAGCCAGAGCTTTAAAATATGCTTCTTAATTTTAATTTGTGCTGTTTGCTAGGGGTTCCTATCTTTACTTCCATTGGGAAGTTTCATAACATTTTCCTACCCATCAGTATTCTATTAAAACTTCATTTTGTAATCTGAAAGCCTTTCTGCTTGTCATGGTTTCCTCTTCAGAATGCCCTAGGTAGCAATTCTGAAGTAAATGCATTCAGGCTGAATGGTCTTGATTTTGTTGTCTTATAAATTCAAAACAAGACTTGAAATTAAATCCTATTGTCAATTTTTCCTTTAAATAATGGATTTAAGAATTTTTATCTGATGTCACAGGACTCCTGAAAAAGCCTCTGCTATAATTGCTAAAATTGTGAGTGAAATTGGTTACCATATGCATTTAATACTTCTAGTTTTACATGTGTATACTGTTAGAGGATAGGTCAGTGTTGTCAGTAAAATAAGGGGGTCCTGCAGTGTTGGGCTGATCCTGTTCTTCCCGTGGGAGCTCTCCACTGCAGTAAAAGGTGCTCACAGGACTGACCCTAAGTGGCTGTGATTTAAGGTCTCCTAGAGCCCTTCACAGCAACCGAAAGGTTCAAAGTGACCAAAAAAAATAAAGCTATTAGTAGAGGGAACAATACAGGGATACAAATAAAGAACAGTCTCTTGGGTGAGTGTAAAAAATGTGTTTCTTGGGAAAGCATGAGGTTCATTCAGTTTGGATAACTCTGTTGGACGTGGGATTAGACCAGCTAACCTCTGCCCGTAGCGCTCTTGTAAATCTTGCATGACTTCTAAAGGGACATTCCACATCTCGACAGGCAGCTCATCGGAGGCCTGCCAAGGGGCCATGGCCAAGATGTTCTCCTTTGGTTGCTGTGCAGATCCATCCATCCTCTGGCCTGGATCGCTCCCAGACAGCGTGCACGCAGCAGGGATCACCTGGGGAGAGCGGGAGGAGGTGAACTTGAAGGAGAAGGGGGTGGGGGACTGGTGGTGACCCACGGAATAAACGTCCTTTCTTTCTCAGCCCTGCTGAAATCCCTCCCTCGCTCCTTTGCATGATTTACGTTTGCTCAGATTAAAATCCCTGCTCCCGGTGGGCTCAGCCTGCTCCGTGCTGTCGGCGGCGCTGCGCCGAATGTCAGGTTTCAGCATGCACACAGCCAGCTTGTTAAGATAGCAGCAATTAAATCCAGGTGTAAGTTTATCCCTGAGATTGTGTCTGTCCACAATAATAGGGAAATTGCAACCCAAGGCCTAATAAAACAGGACTTGTGCTGGCTCTGAGCAGCTGGTAAAAGGAAGGTTTCTGTGCTGGTGATTTTCTTTTTAGTGCTCTGTTTGATTGCCATCATATTTGAGATCTTCTCCCTGGTTCTTTTTTTGAGTTTGGCTCTTTGCTGACCTGTACAGCCCTTTTACACAAGCTTTATTGCTGTGTTTCCTGTGGCAGATTCCACTGCCAGGAACAGGATTGGATCCCATATTGAATGAGGGTGCCGTGTCAGCTCTGGCAGGTTGATGACTTTTCTGCTGTGACACAGAATCTGCCTGTGGTCTTTTTAAATTTCCTTTATCTAAGTCGGTATATACCTTTGGTGTAAAGGTTTTATTTTCAGTTTATTTTCCACATTATCATCCTGGTTTGCCTTGGACAATATCAGCTACTGCCTGAGCTACTGAGGACTGTAAAGCTGGTTGGTCTGCTTTCCTAAGACTTGTGAATCTAATCTTAGCTCACTATCTCCTTGTTTTGAAATAGCAAATGCCACGTTAAGGATGTTTTTGTTCTGGTGTATGCATGCATCCTGTATTACCTGACTTCTGGAACTCTAGGAATTTCAGGTGCACTTTACTGTCCATTGACATTTTAAGATGACAGCTGTAGCTTTGTGTTGCAGCACTTGAGGTAGCATATTTGGCATGTTGACTAAAACATTCAGCAACCTGCATTTTTAATGCCTAAACCTTCATTTTTAATGCTTAAATAGTATTTGGGTATAATGGAAGAGGTCTTGTAAGATTTGCTTAGTATGTACACGGCATCCCTTTTTATTCTTCTTTATTATTAATATGAAAACAATGGGAAACAAATGAATAATGAGAGTTTTGTAGTGAACATTTCACGGTGTTATTTTCCTGGTGATGTTGTGTTGCTGTGAAGAAATGAGCTTACAATGGACTTACTGCAAAATTGTTTGGCCGCCGGTGATACCTCTAGAATGGGCTGTAGTAATCCCAAATCCATGATAGATGTTTCTTTCACCAGTTCACAATGAATAATCCTCTTAATTTCCTTGAATAGCAGCCGGTATTGCTACAACCTGTGCCTAAACCCAAGAACAGCTTATTCAGAAAGCCTTCTGGCCCTGTGAGCGAGGGGGAATTCTCTCCCAGCGGGGTTGCGTGGGCAAACTTTCACAGGGTCAGCTCTGCCGAGACTCTGACTTCTCCTCTCTGTCTCTCCTAGATGCAGCAGCTGTTCTACGAGAACTACGAGAAGAACAAAAAAGGCTACATCCGGGACCTGAGGAACAGCAAAATACACCGAGCTATCACTCTGCACCCCAACAAGAACCCCCCGTACCAGTACAGGCTGCACAGCTACATGCTGAGCCGCAAGATCGCCGAGCTGCGGCACCGCACCGTGCAGCTGCACCGCGAGATCGTGCTCATGAGCAAGTACAGCAACACCGAAATCCACAAGGAGGACCTGCAGCTGGGGATGCCGCCCTCCTTCATGCGCTTCCAGCCCCGCCACCGGGAGGAGATCCTGGAGTGGGAGTTCCTCACGGGAAAATATTTGTACTCGGGTGCCGACGGGCAGCCGCCTCGGCGAGGGATGGACTCGTCCCAGCGCGAGGCGTTGGATGACATCGTTATGCAGGTCATGGAAATGATCAACGCCAACGCCAAGACGCGGGGGAGGATCATTGATTTCAAGGAAATACAGTATGGATACCGCAGGGTGAACCCCATGTACGGAGCAGAGTACGTGCTGGACCTGCTGCTTCTCTACAAGAAGCACAAGGGGAAGAAGATGACGGTCCCCGTGAGGAGGCACGCCTACCTGCAGCAGACCTTCAGCAAGATCCAGTTCATGGAGCACGAAGAGATGGACGCCAAAGAGCTGGCCAGCAAAATCAACCAGGATTCTGGCTCCCTGTCCTTCCTCTCCAACTCGCTGAAGATGTTTGTCCCCTTCCAGCTCAGCAGGTCCAAAGCAGAAAGGAAGGAGCTCAAAGACAAGAAGATCAACATCCTGATCCCTCTCTCCGGACGGTTCGACATGTTTGCAAGGTTCATGGGGAATTTTGAAAAGACGTGCCTCATTCCAAACCAGAACGTCAAGCTGGTCGTCCTGCTTTTCAATTCCAACTCCAACCCTGACAAAGCGAAGCAGATCGAGCTGATGAGAGATTACCACTCCAAATACCCCAAGGCTGACATGCAGGTTCTGCCGGTGTCAGGGGAGTTCTCAAGGGCACTGGCTTTGGAAGTTGGATCTTCTCAGTTCCAGAACGAGTCTTTACTTTTCTTCTGTGATGTTGACTTAGTGTTTACCACAGAATTCCTTCAGCGGTGTAGAGCCAACACAGTTTTGGGTCAGCAAGTGTATTTTCCCATCATTTTTAGCCAGTATGATCCAAAGATTGTTTATAGTGGAAAGGTTCCTAGTGACAATCATTTTGCCTTCACTCAGAAAACAGGTTTCTGGAGGAACTATGGCTTTGGTATCACCTGTATTTACAAAGGTGACCTTCTTCGAGCGGGTGGCTTTGATGTCTCCATCCAAGGCTGGGGCCTTGAAGACGTAGATCTATTTAACAAAGTCATTCAAGCTGGCTTAAAAACTTTCAGAAGCCAAGAAATTGGAGTAGTCCATGTGCATCACCCTGTTTTTTGTGACCCTAATCTTGATCCAAAACAATATAAAATGTGCTTGGGGTCCAAAGCTTCAACATATGGGTCCACACAACAGCTGGCTGAAATATGGTTTGAAAAAAACGACCCAAATTTTGGGAAAAGCAGCAATACTAATGGCTCAGTGAGGACAGCCTAATGTCCAGCTATGCTGGAAAAGACTTTTTTTTTAATTATCTAATTTATTTTTGGGAAAATGTTTTTTGATAATTCACTTTTAAAAGACCACACAGGATATATTTTAGAAATCATCGTTGTTTTCTTACAAAGTGCTCGTTTTGAGAAGAACAAGGCCCTTGGGTTTTTTTTTTTTTTTGTTG